TGCTCCTGGTATTTCTGACAACATGATTTCCAAAACAAATCGGTCTTGCCAATGTGCAAGTTAAATTTCATGGTTTGAACGCTGTGACGTTGTTGAATGCTTCTTAGCGCACGAATGTATTTGGGAAATTTTGATCAAATTTCGTTAGTGATCCTTCCGCAGGTTCAACTACGGAGAACTTGTTACGACTTTTGCCCGGTTCAAATCATTGCGATTGAAGCGGTTTCCACCAATGAATCTCCACCTCGAAAAGCACTGAAACAGATGAAATTCAAAGCAAAATCTTGAAAAATCTTTTCGACTGCCCAAAACCATATAGTTGAAATGAATCAATGCCGTATCGTGCAGTTTTTCTTTTAAGGTGGATTTAAAGCCCGAGAACCAGGGACACAGTCCTTAGCTGGAACTTCGATCTGCACGGCTTGCGAGTCCAATCCCGATAACTTCACTGCCGCTTTATGCGGCACTCCAAAAAATACCGGGGCTTTTAAGCCACCCACATCATTTCTTGTCGGTTTTCCACATGGCGGTGCCAAAAAATACCGGAGCTTCTTTTAAGCCACCCCGACTAACCAAAAATCCGGGATGTGCTTCCGGAGTGAAGCAGCCCGGAATGTCAAGCGAAGCTTTCGCTTTGTGCCCCTTATGTGTACGAGATATGTTGGCAATTTCCAGTGGATTACAGAGACAGAGGGCAAATCTTTACTTCTTTGTTCTATCCTTAAGATCACGTTGTAATGCAAAAGTTATTGTTTTTGATCATTATTTCCCCATGATTGTTGTTTTTGCCTTGCAACAGCGATACAGCAGTATGTCACCGTTTTCTTCCCAGCGGACCGAACAGACATTGCAACACGTTTTGTCATTCGGGTACTGAGTTCCATAGGAAGGCGGTTGGTCAAGGCGTCAAATATATGTGAAGAGTACAAATCCACATGCAACTCAGTCAATTAGTGATACAATAGATTGCCTATTCAGGAAAACAGCGTAGATTAGCTGAAACGGAAAAGT